CCAGACCCCTGAGCCCTCCCTAACGCTGTTCCTGCAGGATGCTTCCCTGAGCTCACCCAGACCCCTGAGCCCTCCCTAACGCTGTTCCTGCAGGACGCTTCCCTGAGCTCACCCAGACCCCTGAGCCCTCCCTAACGCTGTTCCTGCAGGACGCTTCCCTGAGCTCACCCAGGCTTCAGCAGGGCTCCGGCATTTTCCACCTGTCTGCCACTGCTGTTCTCTCCAAAAGGAATATTGTTGTTCTGGGCATTTCCCTCTCTCTCTCTCTCTCTCTCACACACACATACACACACACACACACACACACACACACACACACACACTCTCCACATGGATACACAGTTACCCTTTCACACAAGACACACATATTATCCCTTACACTTTCTCACATACCATCCTGTCTCTGCTGTACACACACCTTCTCACACACAGTCTCTTCCTCCCACACACATACACACACATTCAAACTCATTTTCACACACAATCTCATGCTCACATTGACACACATTCATTCTCACACACACACACTCCAAATGGATGCTCTTCCACCGTTGGGCTCCATACTGCTCCATGTCCTCTCTCCGAGGCCACAAACACAGTGCTGCACACAGGTTGACAGTCCCACGGGTGTCCACTGCTGGGGCCCCCTAGGAGCGTCCACTGCTGGGGACCACCAGCAGTGTTCTCTGGCCTGAAGAAAAGGGGAGTCTGCATAGAAGCGCACCGTGGACACGGCTGGGTGTCCTCCGTCTCATCTCCTGGACAGGGCCCAAGGTTCCTCTCTCCCGCCACCCTCTCCAGCGCCAGGTTTGCCCATCCACTGCTGGTCGTGGCACGTGGCCTGGCGCTGCGGGGCTGAATGCTGTTCCCGTGTTCTATGAGGCTGTGAGCTCCCCGCTCCTCCAGTGCATTCTCTGGCGCACGTGTCCTCCACAGCAGGGCGTCACTTCCGAGCCCTCCACATTTGCTGGGTGTTTCTTCCTCACTTTGAGTGGGAGCAGTTCTGCCAGGACCTGTTCATGGGCCAAAACTTGTGCAGTGTGGGGGCCCCTTGAGTGCCCTCCAGACACTGTGGGCCACATGGACCTTCTCTTGAGAACAGACTTAGCGGGAAGAGGTGGCTGGTAGATGGAGAACTCCCCAAACTGCAATATCTCAGGTCAGGCAGGTACGAGGTACCCCAAGTGCCTGGAGCAGTGGGCCCCTTGTGGCAGGCATGCTTTCTGCCTGTATTTAAATGCCAACTTCCGCCCCGGCTGGTTGAAGGCACGCGGCTGCTCAGGAAGCCATTCTGGCCCTTGTTCAGTGTTGGCTCAGGCCTGAGGAGGGCAGGATGGGGCTGGGCAGCCACAGCCTGGGGTCTGCTCTCTGGCCCAGTAGGTGTGTGGTGCCTCTGGAAGGGCCTCATGGAAACCACGGTCAGGCAGCATGTTGAGGCCTTTCAGCCGAGGGTCAGCACACTCAGCCTCCCAGAGCTCAGCAAAGGTGAGCCCGTGTCCCCCGCCCCCAATCTCCACCCTCCTGCTCCCAGAGCCAGACAAGGGGCCCATCCACACAGTTTCTCCAGAGGGCAGCTCAGAAGCTTCAAAGTGGCAAGCTCGGCCCACTGGGCCCACTCTCTCCCACAGCCGTTCCCAGTGGGGCCAAGTAGCCCCCAGAGCATCCGTCTCACTGTGTGACAGCCCTCCTCCTGCCTGCACCCAGCCCTGGACAAGTCAGTGTGTGACCAGATGTGGGCATTCCCAAGCATCAGGAGAGACGAGGGTTCTGCTGTGAACGCGTGTTCTTCCCATTCCTTCTGCAGGTTTCCAACAGGGCCTGGTGGTTTGGCTGGGGTTTGATGGTGTGAGTAGGGTTGGTAGTCTTGGTAGAGTTTGGCGGTTTGGGTGGGGCTTGGTGGTCTTGTAGAGTTTGGGGTCATAGGATGGGTTGGATAGGACCCAGCAGTTCCGGGAAAGCTTGGTGAGCCCAGTATGACTTGGCAGTTCTCTAAGGGGGTTCTTGGCGGGTTTGGGAGGTTCGGTTCTAATGGCTCTTGCTGAAACTGCGCCACAAGTTGGAGTTACCTGCTGCCCCTCTTGCCACAAGCCCTGACGCTGGGGTGGGCGGACTTTCCCCTGGACACTTCTGATGTCCTGGGTCAGCTCGCAACGGCATCAGCGGTACTTAGTTAGCAGATCCTGGGGGTGCCTCGCCCCATGTCCTGTTCCCACCAAAGGTTACATGGGCGTCACAGGTCCCAGCGCGGGTCACATGCTCACCGCGAGCCACGGCTCCCACTCAGGGGACACACTTCTACTGAAGAATCCAGTTTTGCACAGTTGATGGCTCTCCGCTGCCACCCCACCCACACACACCTCAAGGCTTTCTCTGGGCACAGGTGGGACAGGTCAGAATGCTAAAAAGCTAGTGCCTTGGACCAGTGCTCGCAGGGCTGCTGCACAAACTCCCTAGCCCCCTGGCTTCTCCAAAGGACACCCTTAGCCTGCCCTATAGGTCAGAGGACCCCAGAGGGCTGAGCCCACCACCCATGGTGGTCACCATTCACCCAGCTGCTCTCATGGGCCTCCTTCACCTCCCCATTCCCCCAAACCTTTGTCTCCATGATTGCTTCCGGGTGCCAAACAGTGGCATACCCTTTGTGACAGCGATGCCCCCCCCAACCGATGTGCACTGGGTACCAGCCCCAGAGTTCTCTACAGCCTGGATTTTAGGGGTGATCACAGCCTACAGGTCCCCAGGATTTCAGAGCAGCCACTGCCTCGCCCAGACCCCATCCCCACAGGCCCTGCCTTTCCCCTACCTTCCCAGGAGTGGATGCCCAGGAAGTACCCCTGCCGGTGGGGACTCCTCTCTGCAAGCCTGCAGCAGCAGCTGGCCAGGGCTGAGGGGCACCTGTGTGTGGGGTGGGGTGGGGGGGGTGGAGCCTGGCCTTTCCTGGCATCTGAGAAGGAGGCTGGCCCCACTGTCAGAAGATCAGCAGGCGAGGCCCAGGTGGCCACAGGCATGGGGACAGGGATGGCTCTGGCCCGACGCCTGCTCTCTGGCAGTGGGAGTCCAGAGTCCCTGGGGGTGCCGCCTGGCACGTCCGCGTACTCACTGGTGGTGCTCCCGGACATCTGGATGATGCACTTGGAGTCCCGGCTCATCTCTCGGGAGTTGAAGGGGCGGACACGCACTGCCACCTTCACTGAGGCCCCGGCCATGGCTGCAGCCTCTCTCGGTCACTCCTGCACCAGTGGGGGCCTAGGGGCTGGAGACACCTGCAGGAAGGAGAAGGGGTCAGAAGTGCTGTGGAGGAGGCCGGACAGACGTTAGGCAGTGATTGCACCCAGACCCTCAGACACCTCCCTGAGGCACAGGTCCACAAGGAGGGAGAGCAGTGGGCGGGCATGTTCTAGAACCCTTGCTGCCCTGGGAAAGTGAACGCTCAGTGTGGGAGCAGCGCCTGGTGCCACCCTGAGCCCAGCGTCGGGGACGCATCCAAAATGTGTGTTTGTGGATGTCAGCAAAGGAAGGGCTGGAGCCCAGATTCCACCACCCCCTGCAATCGGGGGCCTGGGTAGTGGAGTGGGTTACTCGTTGGGCCGCTAGCTGCAAGGTCACCAGTTGGAGCCCACTCTGGCCTACACGGATGCCCTGGGTTGGAATTGACGTGATGGCCGTGAGCTTACTCTGGGCTTCCTGACCCCACTGGATACAGAAAAGACCCATGCCAAGGCAACCGCCGATGCCCAAGGCTGAAGAGAAGGTTCCCAAAGCTTCCAGAGGGCCACAAGTGGGCCTACCAGAACAGCCCACATGTCACCAGCAGCGTGCTCACTAGACAATCAACCACGAAGACAATCCTCTTACCCCAGGAACCTGGGGAAGGGCCTTCAGGCACATGGTTTACTTCCGGGGCACACTCAGGATGACACAGAATGTGTCTCTGACAAGGGGGAAGGTGTGGGGACAGAGGAGGAGGTGGGAAGTCAGCCCACAGGACACTGGAGCTGTCCCGAGGGGAGTGTCTCTTATCAGAAGAGGACCCCACGGGGGAGAAGATGGGCCAAGTGACGGCTTTACATCCTGAAGAGGGTTCTGCCTGTGCAGGCTGGTGAAGGAGCAGTGGACCCAAGGAGAACGGCTACCTCCTATGTCACTGATTCCAGAGAACATCTTCCTGAAGACAGATGCTACAGTCACAGCACAGGGCTCAGTTGGGCGCATCGGAAAGGTGTGCCTCTAGTCACACCACACCCACTGCCATCCAGTTCCTGCCAGCGCCTGGAGCGCACTACAAGGCACGAACAGCAACCAGAGGAACTTGGCGGGGAGCATGAGCTAGTGAGGGAAGGGGCAGAGGCTGGCTGACTCTAGTTCCTGAAGACACCAGGTCAAAGACAAAGCCACCCAATGAAGGCGGAGCAATGTCCCCCTGTGGGGGACATCGTGGCAAACACAAAAGATTGACGCTGTCAAGGATTTCGTCTTGCTCGGGCCCACGGTGGATGCTCGTGGAAGCAGCAGACACTGAGGGAGTCTGCTGTACCAAGGCCTCTTCACATGATGAGGACTCGCGGGGCCGGACCCAAGCCGTGCACGGCATGGGCACTCCCCTGTACGCATGGAAAAGTGGACATTGAGTAAAGAAGACAGAAGAATTGGTGCCTCTGAACTGTGGAGCTGGAGAATATTGAAAGCGCTGTGGGCTGCCAGGTGGGCAAGCGCACCTGTCTTGGAAGAAGTACAGTCAGAGGCTCCTTAGAAGAGGACAGGGACTCCAAACTGGACGCATCGTCAGGAGAGACAAGTCCCTGGAGAAGGAGATCATGCTTGGTCAAGTAGAGGGGCATCAAAAACCGTCGTCCCCAGGCTGCCCTCATTCAGGAGAGTCCAGGCCAGGGCCCAATCTGTAGTGTCCCAACCTCCCATCTATAGGAAGGCGGCCTTCAAGGAGATGTATTGACACACTGGCTGCAGCAATGAGCTCAGTCGTGACCATGGCGAGAGTGGCACAGCACCGGGCGGTGTTTCGTCCTATTGTTCTGCAGTTGCTCTGAACCAGAACCAGCTGACCTGACACCGAACAAACAAAGCAACAAGCAAAAGAGGAGAGGACGCTCTCCTGAAGCAGAGGGAGGCTGGGTGGCCCTGCCGACAGCCACGCTCACACTCCCAGCCTCTGGAAGTCTGAGAGCACAGCTGTCTAAAGCCCCCGGTGGTCTTTTGTTGCCAGCACCCTGTGAGGCTGAGACTGGGTCAGCCTCTGAGACCCGCCCCCTCTGAACGCCCATCAAGTCCCTCCTTCTAGAAGGACGTCTACCTGGTCCAGCTCACACTGCCCTCTCTCGGGACAGTCTGAGCTAGGGCCCTTTCTGTAGTGTCCCAACCTCCCATCTGCAGAGGCTGAGGACCCCCAGCCCTGCCCTCCAGAACCCCAAGAACAAAGCAGGAGGGGCTGCAAATCCCCCAGGCCCATCTCTGCAGGTGGAGGGGGCACAGCAAGGCCTGGAGCAGAGTGGCATGTGGGCCCTGCGTTTCCAGATGGTGACCAGGGCCAGCGCCTTGGCTCCCCAGAGCTCTGGGGAGCAGGCTTAGCATGGACAAGGGTCAGGCCTTACAAGGCCCCAGAAGTGGGGAAGCGCCAGACCACCCTTCAGTGGGGGCCAACAAGTCCAGGAGTCAGCTGATGGCCGGAATCGTGCGTGCGCAGTTACTGCATCACAGCCCCTCAGCACAAAACACCCCAAGTCCAAACACCTGAGCGATTTCCATCATGGTTCCACCTCTAGGGTCACGGTGAGGGTCTCACCCCTTCGAGACTCTGTGAAACTGGATGAAGGCTCAGGACTGGAGCCAGACTTCTAATAAGCATCGAATAGCTCGCTTTGGGAGGCCTGGTGGTGTGGCGGTTCCACATTGGGCTGCTAACCCCAAGGTCTGCAGTTCAAAACCACCAGGTGCTGCACAGGAGAAAGATGGGCTTTCTACTCCTAGCAGCTACAGTCTCTGAAGCTCACTGGGCAGTTCTCTCCTGTCCAATAGGGTTGAGATGAGCCAGCATCATCTGCAGACCTTGCAGTTTTGTGTCTCTAAAATACATAGGTAAATGGGCAACAACTCCCCAAAACTATATACTTGAGGCAATTCCAAGTACTGAAACAGAAAGCCATTTGAAAGGAAGGAAATATTTATCAGAGCACATGCTGGACTGGATACCACAAGGTTTTCAGATCTCCCCCTGCAGCTACAGAAATTAAACGCAGGCCTCGTAAGGAAATACCCGATAGGGTTTGTGATGGAATCTGGCAATCCAAGGGAATGTTGGAAAATAAGAACAAAGAAAGGTTCACCTGCCCACTAGCACACATGCTGCAAAGTCAGAGGAAGTTCCAATGTCCAGGAGTGACACGTGACCAGGAGAGCGATGAGAAAGAAGAGGTGTGTGCAAAAACACACATGCGCGCGTGCACACACACATCCAGCAAGTGATAAGGCGGCATTTCCGATGATCAGGTTAGGTTTGCATTGAGACCGCGGGCTAGCCCATTGACAAACCAAGCTAGAACCTTCTCTTTAAAAGCATTGCAAGAAAATGCAGGCGGCTGTGCCTCTGGGCCTGGGCAGAGAAGGGCATGCGAACAAAGCAGAGAAGTTCCCACGCACAGGGGACTTGTGCTCCCAGGGGAGGGGCGGAGTCCAGTGGTCCCACCACCCACAAGTTTAAAAAGCTTTTTTTAAAAACCCTGCATCTGTTTAAAGTAATCAAAGAGCGATTGAAGCATGGGGAAGCAGGGGGCCAAGATTCCAGCGAGCGGGGGCTCACAGGCAGGAGCTGCATTCCCAGCACTTTGCCCGGTGTTGGCATGCTGGTCACAGGGCAGGGGGTGGGGAGCCGGAGTCTTCCCAGGCCGGGCGCTGTTGCCCAGAGACAGAGGACCCGCTGAGCTTTCGGTGCAGAGAAAGAAACTGGAGCGGCCAGGACCCCCAGAGGGAGAGGTGAGGAATGGAGCCCCTCGCATGATCCACCTTCAGAACTGTTTTTTGCCAAATAAAAGAGAACTGAGGAGGATTTTTTTACTTAAAAAAAAAATGCATTTTTCGGTGAACCATTAGAGGCAACTCGAACCCCTGGAGGTGGTGGTGGCGTTGCGACGCCCCTTCTGCAGGAAATACACTGGCACCTCCCCCGGAAGCCATCCTGGAGTTGAGCTGTGTCTGCAAGCAGCCTCTGCCAGGGCTCTGTGGGGCATTGTCGTTTGACAGGTGATCTTCCTGAGTCTAGGAATTCTCGTATCCGTCGTCAGTGGTCACTGCTTCTGCCTTTGACGCCACGCCGGCTTACGGAAGGCTTCCTAAGTGCGCTGTGCTTTTGGAGGGCACGGGAAAGGGGCGGGGGGTTCAGACAGAGAAGGAAGGGAATCACCCACGCACGCACGACCCAGAGAGAGGAGGAGTGATCCAAGAGGGACTTTGGAATTACAGCAACTGGTATGCTCAGAATGAGAGGGAAAGGGATGGGGAAACGGAGACATCTCCCCTCCACCCCCAGGGGATCAGAAACGATGGAAAATTGGCAAATAGAGATTCTAGAACCAGAAGCTGAAGGGATCCAACACAAGGGAAGGGGATGCTGACGAGCGGAGGCTGGGTCAACAGAAAAGAGACATGGCTGAGGGCAGAGGCTGAAAGTCAAAGGACGAAAGTTCGTGGTCTCCCTGTTCTGTCGCCTCCTGAGAAGGAACACCTATAGTAAGAGCCCACACCAAATTTTGGCCTGCACCTGTCACGTCAGCACACGTCAGCATTAAGTTAAAGCCCTAAGATGCGTGCTCTCTGATCATAGCTCTCCAGCAATACAGAAACATCAAATACATAAGCCTACTCCATTCCCCATCGCTGGAAGATTGGCGAGCACTTCCGAATAACCCACCAGTCAAAAAGAAGGAGGGAGAGAGGAGTATGGACGACAGTTTGAGGTCAACGGTACTGGCGAGGGAGGGGTCATCACCGCGTTCTCAGGTTGACTCCGAGCCCTCGCCTGACGGGAGCGGTCAGTTCTCTGGAGAACAGACTGAGTCGCAAAGGAGCTCGTAGGACAGCAGCTGGGTGCTTTCCCAGGGCAAGGCTCTGCCATCTGGCTCACCCCTCGGCCCACAGGCAGCAGGGTTCAGGCACCTTGACTACAGAGAACTCGGAAGGAGCTGAATTGCAGAGGAGCCCCGTCTGAGAGAGAGAGAAAGGGCCCGCTTGATCTGCATGCTCTCCCGTTCCTGCA